ACACTGATTTATTCATTGGTCGTGCCAATAAAGCATCTTGAGTTGAAATTGAATCAGTTAGACTCTCTCTAGCTTCTCGTTAATTTTCATTAATCATTAATTAAAGTCATTTTAGCAGGAGTTCCTCTGTAAAAAAAACAATAACATAGTTTCTACGTATAGAACAGAGTAAAGAAATGATTTAATGGTTAAAATGTGTACCTAGAAGAATGTTATTTGTTATGTTTCTTGTCATTGATAGTTTAATTCTGGAAGGTGGTATTTGCTGCCTGTTTGAGTTTGAATATTTAAACTGATTTGAGAGTCATGAGTGACTGAGAGCCCTGATGGTCTAATAATGTCCTCTTGTTTCCAGCCATTCCTGTCATCCTCACAGAGCTGGGTAAGTACCTCCTGTGTCTGTCAGATCACAGAAGTGAAAATACAGATGAGGCTGAGCTGTGCTCTACTGTACTGATATGTGCTGACATGTACTGAGCTCCACTGTGATGAACTCTATTGCACTGATATACAGTAAAACCTTCTCTCTGATTCTTCAGAAATACACACGTTCATTAATCTGTAAAATACTCAGATTTCTGAAATCAATAGAAGCTACAGATGAAACAGACAGATTCTGGGACAACAGGGTCTCAAAGAGGAATTTTCTCTCCTCTTGTCAGCCCCTGTCCTGAGTAAACAGCCTGTATTCTGGACACTGTGGGGTCCTGCCTGTGTCCTGCTGTCACACTCAGTGTCTGTAGTGCTGGAACAACACATCTGAACTGCCTGCTTGTGTTGGGCCAGCTGGGAGCCAGTCTGTGTCAGAATGATGTTATTCTTGAGTCTGTCTGGATCAGTTCTGGTGTGGAGATGTGCTCATCATGGTGTGTGACTGGTCATCTCTCACTGGCCCAGCTCACAGCCAGAGATGAAGCAGTGTGAAAAGGACATGTCTGTATCTCATCTCAGGGTGTGATACTGGTCACTGTGGGTTCAGGTCACTCAGGTAGTGATACTGGTCACTGTGGGTACTGGTCAGTCAGGGTGTGTGAGAGCAGCAAGTGTTGTCCTTCATGACTTTGCAATGAACAGCTTTAAGTATCAGTATGAAATATCTTCAATGGCTTATTGACTGTCTTATTGACTTACTGACTGAGACACCAGTTTAACAGACACACCTGTTCTCTCACACTGACACTGTGATCCCCACTGCAGAGGACACTGAGGATCCTGAATGAACTTATTTCACACTGCAGTTTAAACTCTAGTATGATATCCGGTAATTAGCAACTTTTAATACAAAAACTTCCTCTTATCTCTCTACAGATGCCATGAAGAGAGATCCCATCCCTAAATCACGTATGTACACTGTGTGGAGGAACTGCAGACTGACACCACTGACTGTACTGATGTCTTATTCCCAATGTGTAGCCCAGTGTGTGTCTGTGATTAACAGTCTGTGTCTGTAGACTAACAGTGTCTGTATCTCTGTGTTCAGTGTGTGTCTGTAGACTAACCGTGTCTGTATCTCTGTGTTCAGTGTGTGTCTGTAGACTAACAGTGTCTGTATCTCTGTGTCCAGTGTGTGTCTGTGATTGACAGTGTCTGTATCTGTGTTCAGTATGTGTCTGTGATTAACAGTGTCTGTATCTCTGTGTTCAGTGTGTGTCTGTGACTAACAGTGTGTGTATCTCTGTGTTCAGTGTGTGTCTGTCATTAACAATGTCTGTATCTCTGTGTTCAGTGTGTCTGTGATTAACAGTCTCTGTATCTCTGTGTTCAGTGTGTGTCTGTGATTAACAGTGTCAGTATCTCTGTGTTCAGTGTGTGTCTGTGATTAACAGTGTCTGTATCTCTGTGTTCAGTGTGTGTCTGT